AGACGGTGAAATTCTGGACTATATAATCGACGGTATTCCAGACCCGAATCTGCGTGATTTGGCACGAATACATGGATTCACGACGAGGGACCAGATTCTGCAGGCATTCGACGAGATATCATTACAAGGCAGAGTATATCCAACGACGACAACGAGTTCGAAGAGCGAAGATAAAGGCGGTGGCGTGAAGAGTAATCCTGGTAAAGGGAGTAAGGACGTTTTAGGTAATAAGTGCGCGCCGGGTGATGACAAAGATGTACGCGAGAAGAAAGACCGAGTTACGTTGAAACGTTGTTTCAATTGTGGACTGAGGGATCACGTAAGTTTAAATTGTCCGTTAAAAGAGAAAGGTGTTAAATGTTTTGGGTGTAATGAGTACGGGCATATAGCCGCTAAATGTCCGAAAAAGGAAACAACGAAAAGCAGTTGCGCGATCACTCAGCCACAGGGACATAAACATCCTAAAGAGGTATTGATTAACGATGTCGCAATTCAGGCGATTATAGATAACGGCAGCGATATTACGATAATGCGTGAAGACGAGTATATTAAGTTAGGTTCTCCGCGAATTGAGCTCGAGGTAACACCTTTTCGGGGAATAGGCATGGAAGAGAATAGGACGAATGGAGGATTTTATGCGAGTCTGACGGTTGATGGTAATAATTACGTAATCCCGATACATGTTGTAGCGGATCAATTGTCGCGATATAAATTGTTAATCGGCAGCGATTTTCTTGACACAGTCGACGTAGAACTGAAGCGCGGTAAGCCAACAATTATTAAGCCGGATTATCGAGACGACGGTTTCGCAGAAATTTGTCAGATCAGCGTAATTTCTGATTCAGTCATTAACGCCGTAGACGTTACTAATATACCCAACGATCGTTGTTACCAAACGGTGAAACAGATGATAGAGAATTACAAGCCGAACCCAACGAGCGGGCGAAGACGGTGCAATGCATCCTATCTTTTATGCGAGTGGTAAAACCACACCCGCAGAGGAAAAATATCCGAGTTATGAACTTGAGGTTCTCGCGATAATTAAGGCGCTAAAGCGATTCCGAGTATATCTACTGAGCATAAATTTTAAAATCGTTACTGATTGTCGTGCATTCACTCAAACCATGTCAAAGAAAGATTTGTGTATACGCGTAGCGAGATAGGCACTCTTGCTAGAAGAGTTCCATTACGATATAGAACACCGTCCAGGGAAGAATATGTCCCACGTAGATGCGCTGAGCAGAAACCCTCTGCCTATTTATTTGCTCATAGACGAGGGCGACGACGGATTAACGACGAGTGAGATGGGCACTCTTGCTAGAAGAGTTCCATTACGATATTGAACACCGTCCAGGGAAGAATATGTCCCACGTAGATGCGCTGAGCAGAAACCCTCTGCCTACTTGTTTGCTCATAGACGAGGGCGACGACGGATTAACGACGAGGCTCAAGAAAACGCAGCACGACGATGTCGACATGAAGACAGTAATGCAGCTGGTGGAGAAGGGACAGATACACGGATACATAATTCGTGGTGGGCTGTTGTTCAAAGAGGTTGACGGCGATATTAGGCTGGTCGTCCCGAAAGCGATGTGTTCACAAATCATCAGAAAAGCTCACGAGAGAGGACATTTTGCTGTGTCAAAAACCGAGGCGATAGTGAAACGAGACTATCACATTCAAAATCTACGTCCGAAAGTGGAAAAAATCGTGCATAACTGTATCGATTGCATATTGGCCGAAAAGAAGCAAGGAAGACAGGAAGGTTTTCTGTCCCCGATTGGAAAAGGTGACGTTCCGTTGGACACATTATAAACAAACTGAAAATAATTTAAAAACAAAAATTAAATTAATTGCAGTGTCTTTTCGCAAGGTAGGATTTCCATCCACCACAAGTTACATGTTGCGCCGTTCTGTGCCACCAATGCAATCCTCTGACACCCTCATGATCTTCAAGATGCTCACAGCATTTTTCTGCGTAGATGAGGCTCACGGTGCGGTCGGTACTTCTTGTTCTTGCCACCCTCCGTCAGTGCAGTAGCTGATTCTCGTGGGCCCTATAGATTCCTTCTAATTTTTCGGTTCCCTTACAGGACCGCTTCATACACGGAAAAACTTAAAAGAATCATCTCCGAAGAGAAATATTAACAACTCTTAGATACAAATCAATCGATTACTCGTACGCAATTGCGACGATGCGTTTCGAGCCTCATGATGTAGCCTCTCTACTGCCTCTTTCCTAATCCTCTTGTAAAATGCACCAAGTCTCAGCTCACAATATAAAAACCAGAAATTTACAGGATTCCCCTGAAATTGCATTTCTTATATTACATATGAACCTTAATCGACATGTGACAGGCTAAATGTTAGAAATAGAAATTTGTAAATGTATTTATTAAGACAGAAAAAATGTTGATTTTAATAATTATAACAAATGTTTAATTAAATTATATTAAAACATGTATGCCTGATTGTCGACTTACCACTGGGTCGACCGTTTTCTAAGCACAAGCTCATTCATTATGCCCAAGCGGTGGCATTTACCAGTTTGGCACACACGTTTAACGAGATCGAAGTCTTTTACGGTTCATTAAATTCACAGAAAATAAACACAATCAGTAATTCCATCTTGGATAATGATGAGGTTCTATTAAGAAACTGTCACAGTAACATGAAACTAACTGAACTGAATTTAGGTTTACATCTTGGGATACTGGTAAACGCCCAGTTCGGACCCCGATAGTCTTCCATAGTAGAGAGAGAGTGCATCGTGACGTAGTTTAGTAGTTTGACATACTGGCGTGGCACGCTGATTACTAGCTGGGTTTGCATTATTTAAGATGCCTAGTCTGACACCGGCCGGGGCTTTGTCTTTATCAGGGAAACTTCTGTTAGCATTGATACGTATTCTACAAGATCATTATCATATTGGTTACGATGCCATATTTCGTTCATTTTTTTTACTCATTGTGTGTTACGAATCATAAAGAAAAGTGCATATTAAGTGCTAAACATTTAGGTGATTGGCAAACCGTGCAAAACATACAAAAACATCGTGAATGTGGAATATAATGTGATGCTACACGTGTGTAACGAGAGATTCCTGCTTGGACACGCAGACGGTAGACGTTTTGTTGAATTTGTGAGTACGCGGGTGCACTGAGTGCAATTGGGCCGACGATTGGTTTCTTGGATTACGCGACCAGGGAACACCACGGTAAGCGAGGATATTTGACGTTTTTGTGAGCGACGTAACTTCGTGCAAATCTTGGTACCGGAGTTTTGTTTTTTGTTGTTCGTAATTTATGACTGCGCGTGTAACGGACACGCGGAGGGATGATCCCTCACCTCGAATCAGACCAAGGTGTTTGTGAGTACGCGGGTGCACTGAGTGCAATTGGGCCGACGATTGGTTTCTTGGATTACGCGACCAGGGAACACCACGGTAAGCGAGGATATTTGACGTTTTTGTGAGCGACGTAACTTCGTGCAAATCTTGGTACCGGAGTTTTGTTTTTTGTTGTTCGTAATTTATGACTGCGCGTGTAACGGACACGCGGAGGGATGATCCCTCACCTCGAATCAGACCAAGGCACGAAGGTTCGTCGACCGGCAGGGTTCACTGTTTAGAATTTTTGTTTGATCTTATTTTTGGATTAGAATTTAGTACGTTCTCCGAATTGTTTCGTGTCGTTCCGCCCTCAAGGAAATTGTACTTTTGATTTTGTAACGCGTAAAACGCGTGCAGGTCCTTGACGGTCGGGTATCGTATTGTGGTAAACGCGGATTAGCCGCGTCACGATTTTGAATTGAATTCGTACGGTACGGGAAGTACCAAGTAATACTTTTTGATTGTTCTTCTGCTTCGTTTTTTTGATTTATTTGAATTCTATTTCTTTTTTTTTTGTAAATAATCTCTTCGGTCTTGTACAAAATCGTCGCGCTTCGCGTCTCCGATTTTTCTTAATAAACCGAACCTTTTTTGGAGGACGACGTGTCCGGATTATTCTGTGTATCGCGTGATCGTCGGACCCATGGGACCTATTGTTCCGAATCTGCGTAGCTGAGTTAGCCAACGTGGGCACGCGAAGACAAATTATAGAAACTGATACGTGGTTCCTATTTTGGAACCTGGCGCCCAACAATACTTTAGGTATTTCGACTGTAAAAATTTGTTAGCCCCTGGGTTGCCTGTAACGCGTAGGAATCGCGTCAAGTTGTGCACCGGTCGGTTTTCCATTTTTCGGTGAGGTCGATCGCGTAAAAATACGTCACAATACATACAGGTATTATTTTCCGTTATTCATCATGCATACACAATATGATGATGAAAATATAATTACGAAATTCAATCAATATCCATATTGTTAAAAAGTCGCGATAATGACAATAATAATGTATCATTTGTGCCTTGGCTACATACCAAAAATGCAGCCATATACTACACTACATTGATATATTGAGTATGGTATCGGGAGATTGAAGGATTTAAAACGAGAAAAATATATACGAAAAAGCAAAATGAATGGTACCAGTTTTCGCAGAGCGCCTGAAGGGTTTACCTTCATGTCGAAACCAGAAGGCGATAGCCACTCGAAGAGGAAGATGGTGAAAGTCGCAGCTTGAATAGCCAGAGCCCCAACAAGCATCCACGAAGCCGTATCGAAGGGTTCTGAAATAATTTTCAACATGCCACGAGGACATTACTGAGAGTCCAGGGCGGTATGACAGTCATAAATAGAAAAAGTGACAAGTCGATCATGAATAAAAAGTCTGCGAGCTTCTCTATATCTATACGTATGTAGTACATAGACGGTATAAGCGAAACTATTTCATTGCATTGTATTTTCAAGCTTTGATTCTTAAAATAGTCAAAATTGTGAGTTTTCAAGTAAAAATTTGTTATTTTACAAACGGTTTTACAGTAGCCTATAAAGAACTTATATGGATTTGGAAAAGCCTATAAACTCCATAGTTTGGTCTAAATAGATTCTATTTTATCTCACCATTGAAATTGATAGGGATTTTTGTAATTCCGACCAGAGAAGAGATGAACCAGCAGAAGCCAATATAAACCACTCCGAAAAAACTTAGAGATTAAAAATTATATGCTACAGCTCCATTTTACATTTAATTTATACATTTGTTAATCATCTTTCCTTTTACAAACTTTTTATTCCATTCAGAGATTCTTTTGTAACTTACCCAAAAAGGCAGTTGGAGAGATGATACCAGTCCTCTTCGCTACTACAATAGCAATACCAGTCTCCATGTACGGTACCGTAAAATCAACAACAGCTTCCCTTTCGGAATTAATCATTAAGGAAGTCATTACCATGTCAGTCTTGCGATTCACTAAGTCAGCTATAAGACCGTTCCATTTGCCATTCTGAAAAATGTAATAAAATATTAAATAAATGTTTTAGTAATACAGTATTTTTTTAAATCCTAATGTATCTTATGCAATATACGATAAAACGCATAGAAATATTAGAAGAAGAAATCTATAAAATTCACAAATAGTGGCATAGAATTATTAGAAAATTGTAGTGACATGTCTAACGACATTATCTACATGATAACATCATTTCCTTATATTAAATTACCTCACCTCGAGTGTACCCCATTTACCATCTTCCACGCGAACCAATTCATACGTAAATCCTAATTCTTCAGCAAATTTCTCCAATAAATCTATACAAAATCCACTGCAACACTGATAGAAGCTCTCGTTCCTGTGAGCTGATGGTACATCCACTCTGCGAAGAAAAGACAATAATTCAATTAGATATATTCATACAGAAGGAAACAACAAGAGTCATCGTCAAAAAACACAAAGGCGAAATATTAAGAATCGAGTTTAAAGATAAGACACATAAAGATCCACTCGTGTTTTCTAAATATTGAGTTGGTAAGAAAGTCTTACGATATTAAAAGATTTTCTTTGACGAATTATTATATTTCATTTCATTTTATATATTTATCTTTTATACCCTTCGAAAACAAAACTTCCAGAACATTCAAAAAATGTTCACTGTAGAATGTTCTCGACCAGCTTCAATAAAAAAAGAATATACAGGGTGTCCCATTTGAAACAGGACGGTTGAATATCTGTTTAAGGAAGAGCAAGACAGCAAAATGTGTCAGACGAAAGTTGTAGGGTACAAAGGGGGAAAGTCAGTGCAAATAGAGTTTATGCTGCTACTATTTATGCTTCTATGTTTCAAGTATAAAGACAATTTTTTTAAATGGCAACAACATTTTTGAACCCCTACAAGTTGTGCGTCTCATCGAGACGAATTCAGCCATACCCTATTTTCATCGATTTTCTATGAAATATCACACGGAAATGGACCAAATGTGATTATCTTTATTGAAGCTTTCCTACATGTTCTATTTCACATATAGCACGTATATGATTGTGTAGGTGCAAGGCACACTTATTTCAGGAGATGTTCGATGTTGCCATCATTTTTAGCGAGGCACAACTCCAGCTGGCGTCGAAAAATTTCAATAACCGACCGAAGAATTTGAATGGCCTGAATGGAGATTCTCACATTTTGTTCCATTTCCGTGTGATATTTCATACAAAATCGATGAAAAACATCATAAAATAGGGTATGACTGAATTCGTCTTGATGAGACGCACAACTTGTAGGGGTTCAAAAATGTTGTTGCCATTTAAAAAAATTGGCTTTATGCTTGAAACATAGAAGCATAAATAGTAGCAGCATAAACTCTATTTGCACTGACTTTCCCCCTTTGTACCCTACAACTTTCGCCTGACACATTTTGCTGTCTCGCTCTTTCCTAAACAGATATTCAACCGTCCTATTTCAAATGAGACACCCTGTATAATGTAAGCAATAGGCGTCACAAGAATTTGTTACCATCCCAATATTTTCACCTACAGTAATCCCTTTGGAAAGAGAAATTTAATTTTAAAAAACGAATATTTATATTTGCGTGAAATATATAGAGTGTATCAGCTAAGATGCACGTTTTAGATTTGCGGTGAAATGGTGCACAATTTCAAAAATCTGATGTCACGACCATTGAATATTTTTTGATTGCGCATCGAATGGACATATTATTATTGTTCGCTTAACTTCCGATCGCAAATAACAAAAATTTTCTTCGTCATTTCAAATGATATTGAAAAAAGTTAAATGTAAAAGTTGTAGAGCAAGAAAAAATAATGGAAATGAAAAAAATGCGGATGGATTGCACACATAATAAGGGAGATATTTGCGTTGGAAATTGTATCATTTTTTGACAAATTCCTGATACTGGTGGAACCGCCTTAGCTTCATGTACCAGCTTCACGCCAATCTCACGATTCGCAATTGTTTTGAGGTAAGCGTTCAGTCAGACGCAAACCCGTACAAGGTGACTAAAACATATGACAATGCTGTTTTTTATTACAAGTTAAAAGTCGAAGTATTCCTGCTGTAGATTTCCGTGATCCTGGATGTAGATTTTGGAGTCTTCGTCTTCCTCTGGATTTGTATTTTCGCGTCTTCGTGTTCCCAGCTGTAGATTTTAGAGAGATCGTATTTCTCGCTGTAGATTTTGGAGTCTTCGTGTTCTTGGACGTACATTTTGGAAGACGAAGACTCCAAAATCTACGGCAAAAGAATTGCGAATCGTGAGTTCAGCGTGAAGCTGCTGCATGAAGCTAAGGCGTTCCGCCAGTATCAGGAATTTGTCAAAAAATGATAAAATTTCGAACGCAAATTTATGTCGAACCCTTAATAATAATAGTAATTTCGAACCCTTATTATGTGTGCAATCCGTCCAAATTTTTTTCATCTCTATTATTTTTTCTTGTCCTACTACTTTTGCATTTAACTTTTTTAACTGATTGTATTGTTTGTTAGGACCTGATAATATACCGCTATAAGTCACGAAGTAGGAATTTATTTTCGGATTGTACTCATTCCTATTCATTTTGATGTTCGACGACCTTAATCTATTATATATTATTTGAACTAATGTCATTATAATTTGTTTCCGACTACGTGAGAAACGGGATATCATTGTTGTAAGTTAAAAGTAATTCTTTTCTTTTGTAATCGCGAAATCGGGTGGTTTTATTGAGCAATAAATCTGATTTGATTGAAAATATTATAGAACGTTTTCGGGTGACTTATTTGGTTCCTGTCCCGAAGGTCCCCGCCACCTCCGCGAGCTGGATTGGTCGGCATACGAGAAGAAGGATAATTTTTTTTATTTTACAAAGAATTGGTTCCCGATGAACCTGGCGCCATACATTCAGACAGGATTAGCTCCTAGGCGTCGAACGGACAATTGTCGGCCAGAGTGTTACCTTGCGTTGCCGTGGAGGCCCGCAAAGGTACGTCGCAGCATCTTAAATGCTTACTATTTAAAAAGTATTGCGAATTTCGACAAGTGTTTTGCGAAAGAGGAACTATGGGACCTCCAGCTACCGCCTACTTTCCGGATGAAAAGTAGTTATGAGACACCCTCTATGTATGTTTAAAAGGGTTAAAACTACCACAGAGAAAGTAAACTTACGATAATCCATCACTAACATGAACTCATCCTTACGATAGTTTCACTTGGCAATGAGTAAAAAGTTCAAAGATTCAGCCAGTAACAGTATGAACTTAATCAGCATATAGCAGATATTTCAATACTCAATCACAAATAATACTAACAGTATCAGTTGTTACTATCAACGAATTAGCCCAATTATCAAAATTACAAATACAAACTTGTATTAAACTCAATAATACCTTAGATTTAAAATAAGTAATTCATACTCTTTTACTTACTCCACCATGTCTGATTCCTTGGCAACTCGACAAAGGACACCACGATCCATGGAGCACTTTCCTGTAACAGGATCTGGTGGGGCTAGGTTTATATAGGGTGGTTCCTCCAAGAACGTAATTTTCAGGTGAAACTTCTCTGGAACACCCTGAGGGGGAGTATGAGAATTTCCTGGCCAGACGATATCCTTAATATCCAGACCTTCCTTCTCCCAGGACTTCCATACACCAATCTGCGCATAAAAGAATGTACATTTTTTTTAATTATATAGAATGTTGAGACGCTATAAATGAATAGACGTAGATTATTATAACACCAGTTAATATGCATTAAAGTTGATAGTCCTTCAATTTCATGGTTTGATCAACAAATGTACGCGTTTATATTCGGGCTCTATTATCGCACCATCATTTCAAATATCCATTTGAAAATGGTAATATTTATTGAAATAATATGTAGCTGAAATACTTTTCATTTGTAATATTTAACGAAAACCATTAGATTCTATAATTCATTAACTTTTCGCTGAGTGGAATTTTAATTATTTTCAATGTTATATTTGTTAACAACATGAAAGTGGGCTGCATATAATATTACTTCAGAAGAGTACCCTCAAAAAATATTTTGTTGTTTGCCTTGAAATCCATTTAAATCATCTGATTTTTCGCGGTATTATTGACTATACGAAGCACCGGAAGACACTGTCTAGTCTCTTGCTTTTCCTTCTGCGCATGTGCTTTTTCATCTTTATCAGTTCAGTTATAGATTGATATACCATGATGTAATCTTATCACATGATCGAATATACAGGATATACCACAATCTCAACACTTATGGTGATATTTCGGAGGCGTCATAGGTCATGAAAACGACCTTTCTGTAACTATTAATTGACTATTAAATCATAATTAGATATAAACAGCACCAATAACACAAAAGAGTAGTGAAGACGTTATAGAAACTTCTGAAAATACAATTAACGTGATAAGCTATTGCTAGATCATATAATAAGCAGATTTGTAGTGACTTTATGTACTTGGCATTGTAATGTGATTTCAATATTTTTTGTTAGGGGAATTCACATCAATCTTGTACTTGGCGAATATTTTTACACCAAGGTGTTTTTGTTGTGTTATCACAAATTTTTTTTCGTTATGTTACATGTTAAATAAACTCTAGTTACATGAAATTTATAATGACATGAAATGAACGTGAATTCTTTGTAGTTATACGTCTTCACAGATTTGAAGTGTGAATTCATTATGATGTCGGTCATCAGAAAACTATATTGCTTTGTCAGAAGTGTTGAAAGCCATTTAAATTTAATATAATATAGAACCCCATTTTGATTAAAAGTGCATAAAGTGCCATCTGAATTTGTAACAAAAATGTAGTATTCAATACAAAATGCATTTTAGCTAAGGGGATTACATAATCAATCCATAATTCTATAAAGCGAAAAAACAATGGGAAATATAAAGAAATTCACTTGCAAAATGTACTAATAATTTCTTCTACCACAGCATTCTAAAATGTCATCCAGCTATGTTATTTCAAATAGTTAACACGGCTAAGTAAAATAAGATAAAGATAATAGTACTTTGCGATACAAGTGCGAGAAAGCGAACTTTATAGGCAGGCGGTGAAGTTGGTCGCACGAGCCGCACACGAGTAACACAACGGCACGAGCCGAAGGCAAGTGCTGTTTGTTTAATGAGTGCGACGAGTGTGACAAACTTCACGAGCTGCGTATAATGTTCGCTTTATTGTACCAGTATCGCATAATATTTTCTGTAACGAATGCATGAAAAACGCTACTTTTTGTGCCTCCAAAGCGACTGGAACATCTCTTCGTTGGAGGAGGCAGCCATAAGAAGAGCAAGGAAGGCTTCCAAAGTGAATGCATTTCATGACAGCGCGCGAGAACAAAGTTTACTTTATCGCACTAGTGCAAGAAGAAAGCACTAGTGCGATAATGTAAAATTGGGCCGATTTGCGCATGCGCAGCATTTTTATCGTATCCATAGATATAAAGCGCCACTTTCGCCACACTTGGGAGGCACGAAAAGTAGTGTTTTTCATGCATGAGTTACATAAAATAAATATCATTAAATTGTGCATTATAGCGGATATGCAGTTAACGCACTCATTTTGCCCTGTATTTCACTATTTTTCCCAAATTGTCGTACAAAATTTGGAATAATAACATATCCATCTTCATGAGCACTAGTCCACAGTTTACTATGTACCTTCATAATCTTTGAGAAATATTATGTCAGATAACATTTGTGACGTGATATTTCGATTCACGGTCACAAGGTGACTCCGACTACCGACTCAGATAACGTTCTCGCTTTAGGGCTCCCTCTGAGTCGCCACCCCGCTCAGAAGCTACGCTCTCGGGTTGATTCGTATAGTTATACCAATGCCTTCGGAAGATTTCGTTATTGTGTACTCGAATCTGCCGTGGGGAGATAGTCTCGACGTACCGAGTTGCCCGGCAGAGGAGAAGACCCGACAGAGACGTCTCCACGGACCGGCAGAAGCCCGGGTGAAATACTGGCGCCCCGCTGGAGATGGGCAAAGAGCTGTTCAGCAGGCGGAGTTATAGTTTTCATACAGTTAAGGGCAGGGAAGGAACCCCCTGACTCGAGTTAAAGATGTGGTGCTGTCGCCCGATGCCCTGGGGAAGCGGCCGTGGAGGATCTCCAAAGTTACGTACCGATTCGCTAAGGAACGCTTTCGATTTGGTTTAAAGGGACAGTTCGAGGTAAAGGAAGAGTTATCGGCTATAAGGATCTCGACCAATCAGAATGATTAGTTCTCAAATTTGACTAATGTTAAAGCAGTCTGGCTCGGAACACTGATCGAAGTATCACGAGCTGGCTCGCGCTCCCGCTCTATCTGTTGATAGTTTTTCTAGCTGTGTTTCGATACGGACTAGAAAGTTCTCGCTCATGTAGTTCTCGCGTTGCTCTCGCGATATTCAGGAAATTCTATAGATTTTCTGTGTTTCGGAGGTGTAGTGCTGTGCCCTAGTGCAGTGTCGAGTGTCCTCTGAATACGGTTCTCGGTCTTCACGGATTTGCTGCACCAGCTCCGGTGAGGATTCCCAATTTATTAATTGGTGAAGGGATCTCGATTTGATAGTTCAGATTCGTTTTGTTACGTTCTCAATACGTTGCTCTCTGTAATTCGCATTATTTGCCTGACGCGTACTCCGGCCCTCTCTACCTCAACATAGCAGTCTGGGCCGCCGTGCATTTCTGTAACCCTCCGCTCCCGTTCGTGCATCCAGTTGCGTTTGCTAATTTTACGCGACTCCAAAGATCAGCTCCTACGGTTTTTTACGCGTCTCCAAAAATCAACAGGATCCATTCAGTTATCACATTTTCGGATAGGTTCCGCCAGAGCTCACGTTTTAGCGGAGTTATTACTGTAATTTTTGATGCTTTTTGTTTAGGCGAAAAACTATTGAGCATCATAAAATCATTGAAAACCGAGCGGTCGATTTTTTATGAATTACTTGGCGCGAGACTCGACCGAGTCTCTTGATATCATCGCATGAACGCTTTGTGGCAAACAACGTAAAGTTCACCTACTACACAACGTTCGACCACACGTCTCTTTAAAGACGCACAAAAGAAGATCATGGAGCTGGGTTGGAATCTGGTTGCCCATCCGTCATATTCGCTGGATCTTTAGCCTACGGATTAATATTTTTTCCGGTCGTTGGCCCATCACTTAGAGGGCAAAATGTTCAATGACGAAGATAATCTCAAAATAACATTCAGAATCTCTTTCATGAGAAACCTAATGAATTCTATAAGCGTGGCATCTACCTTTTGCCTAAGCTGTTGTGAATTCTAATGATGGATATAGATTAGATTAAAGATTAGAAAATAAATAAAATAAAAAATGTTGTAAAATACAAAATATTGTTTTATATTTTTAAATTAAAAAGCTATTATTCTTTAAGTGTAAGAGAACTTTTGGATCAACCTAATATATTTAAAGAGGTGAAACAATTTCGCGCAGTGTGTAGTATAGAATAAGAGACAAAGCTGGTCTCACACAAGGTATCAATATAAACCTGGCTTTATGGATTGACTATAAAAGAATCTTAATCCCTCACCTTTCAGCTTGGCAGAAGTAATGGATTCAAGAACTATTTTCCGAATGCAATATTCGGCATAAATTGGTTAAAGGATTAATTTCAAGGCATCCGTACTTGTCTTTAAAAAAAAACCCAACCTACTTCTGTTGCTCATGTCATGGATTTTAACAGAGTATCAGTGGGTAAAGTTTTTGGACGTTGAACTGAACTAGTTTAACAAATCGTTATTTTCTTATCTGCGGCAAAGAGCAAGCCCGTGTTGCTGTTACTGAATAGACATATGCAACGCACACATAAAACCTGAATCTTGTTAACTACGCTCGCATCAATGATGTAATCTTACTGCATTTCTCAATCCGATGCAGAACAATAGATAAGAAGACCAGCCGCGGTCACGGAATATTTTCTAGGATCAATCGATGCAGATTTAAAATTCTTTGCATCGGTGCTTAAATAATTAATTGGTATAGTTGTTTCAAATGTTTATTGCGCAATTATAGCATTTGACCGAAATAAACTTAAGTAAAATTAAAACGATCAAGTCGGCGGTTACTAGAAAATTAAGAATTGTATAATCAATCAGGAGATGAAACGATCAATCCACAACTAAAGTGTACCTCACAAATTTATATATTAATGCAATAATTGTACATAGCATATGTTGATATAAATGTATAAACGAAGTGTTACAGATACAGTACTACCGTTATAAGAGAATTCGTTCTAATCGAATTACTACTTCATTCCGCTTGGCTGATATTTATAGCTTCCCCCACTCAAAATCTGTGCATCAGGCACATCTAACTTTGGTGTCGGCCTCTCATTAAAAATTAATAAACAATTGCGTACTTCGTACAACAATTGCGTACAAAACAATTTCGTACAACACGTATTTCGTTTATAACGAGGAGCAGTGATGCTCATGAACACGTCGCGCAGTAAAGGAGGAATGCTCGAGGGATTTCTTACACTCCTATTCCTCTAACTCCCATAATATTCGCTTATAACGAAGTATAGTACTGTACTTTAAATCTTTTTAACAACTCGAGTCTAATCAGAGCGTCTCTGAAAAATTCGGATTTTTAGTTAAAATACGTAAGGTGGCGTTAGGTCTG